CAGTATCTTATTATCTGTATCGCAATTTTTTGTTTTTTTACATTTTCTTTTGAATAATTCGGTACTTAATCAAATGAGATGGATATTGTTTTGAAGTTTTTTGATTATAACATATTAACATATTATATATCAATTTTTTTTTTTATATTTTTATTCAATTATTTTATCTAAAATATATTTTATTTTTTAAACCCGTGCATTAATGCACGGGCAAAATAAATCAATACAATATTAAAATTTTAATATGCTAGATAATTTAGAAAAACAAAATTTATTTCCATAATTTTAAGAGGATCAAAAACATTAAAAGTAACACATTCTTACATATATACTAAATAAATAAATAAAACAAAAAACGAAAAAAAAAAAAAAAAAAACAACTAATAATGACCTCTCGAAGAAGGATAGTTCATGAAAGAAAGCCCCATAACAGGAACGGCGTAAGAAGATTCGAGAAGCATCCTCCGGTGAAATGACCCTTCTGCCCCTGGCCCCTCCACCACATCCTTATAGTATTCCTTCACCTTTTTCATCATGCAAAGGTACTTCCCCTTGAGCCACTTTAGCTTCACTCTTCTGCAAACCCTAGCAAGAAAGAACCCCCGGCGGGGCTTCTTCCCACCGAGGCGGACCGTGGCCAATCGCCGCCTCCTCCCGCGGAGTGTCCACCGGAATGTGGTGGTGGATTGGTGGCGCGGCGGTGTGAGGGGATCAGTTTGTGAAGAAGACATATTTTTAGAGGTGTTCTTTGTTTTTTGTTTTTTTTCTTGGGAAAATGTTGAAGGGGGTTTGACTATATAGGGAGGTGGATTCATGTAATAATAATATTATTTTGTGATAAAGTTGTAATAAATTTGTGTTGAAATTAGTTACCTAACCTAAAAACATGCATGGGACACATTTAAAAGTTTATTGACATTTTCAATTTATATTATGCTACATCTGATTAAATATATCACGTAGATTTTTACAATTTATGTAGACATAAATATATTTATATATTCATTGGTGTGTGTAGATCAATGGTAAAAATTTGATCGATGTAACCTTCATCGGGTGTAACATATAAATAACCGACATTTTCTCCACTTTTCAACTGAATTTAATATTTTTATTTCATATTTCATGTAGAAAGTCTAATTTATTTTTTATTATATTTAATTAGTATTTTATTGGATATGTAAAAATATATTTATTACTATATATATAATCATGCCTCGTCAGATTACTTATATCCGATTAATTTAGATTAGATGAAATTGGATTAAATTGAGAAGTGGATTCTAAATAACATATCAATTTTGTTTACCCTGTTTTAATTGATGAAAAAGGAAATAAATGTATTTTAATTATCAGATTTCCCACATTCTTAAAAAGGATAAAATCGGTATTTATGAGGGATAAGCAGATGTGATTGCAATGAATAAGAGAGATTGTGAAGATTATGCAGACCAAATTGAGAACCAAAACCGGATTTTGCAAATCCGGCCAACAATTTCGTATTATTATAATTTTGTATTCATAATTTAATGTTTAGTCCTCAATGGGTCGGAATTGTATTTTTTCAATGTAGTACGGATACGAAAAGTCGAAAACGGTGTTACAGAGAAACAGGCACAGAGAAA